TATGTTGCTAATCCGAGCTGGTCGTCCCAATCGTGGAACTGTTGTCACTTTCGTTGGGCTCCTGAGGGGGTGAATGTGGAGGACGTATCAGGCGGGAACCTCGTCGGTGAGTGAATTGCGAGGAAGTTTCAGGCGGGAACTCCCTCCCTATGGGGCTCGCACTCTATGTTCGAATCCGAAGCGGGTCAGCGGCAACCTGTAACTGTCGTCACTTTTGGGTTCCTCAGGCTTGAGTATTGAGGAAGTCTCAGTCGGCAGCCTTGTTTGTGAGTGAGTTGTGAGGAAATTTCATGCGGGAACCTTCTCCCTATGGGGCTTGCAGTTCATGTACGAATCCGAGGCAGGTCATCGGGAACCTGTAACTGTCGTCGCCTTTGTTGGACTCCTCAGGCTCGAGTGTTGAGGAAATCTCAGTCGGGAACCTCGTTTGTGAGTGAATTTCGAGGAAGTCGCAGGCGGGAGTCCCTTCCCTATGGAGCACACTCGCGCGTGCCACGGACGAAGTGACACGCATGACGTGCAGGAGTCCACCTACAAACGGCCGCACCACCACTTCGGGCGCGTCCCCATGGTGCTGCACTTCGGCGATTTCCTGCAGCTGAAACCCACGGGCAGCATTGGCCTCCAGACGGAATTGAACGAGCTCCTGGACGACGGACGCACGTACAAGTACGCGGAGCCGCCAACGGTGGAGATTCAGCACGCCATCGAGGTCTTCGCTCAGATCCCCTGCGTCTTCGAGCTGAAGGGCACGAAACGCTTCGAGCCCGGGGACCCTCTGATCACGTTCCTGGGTTGCACGCGCGAGGGCAAGCCCTTCCCACCGGATGTCTGGTCCGCCTAGGAGAAGACGTTGGCGTAGGACAACCGCGGCGACCTGGGCCCTCGGCGCCAGCACGAGAACTTCCGGCTCGGCTACGGCATGGCCATCTACTGGAAGACGCTGGCGAGCTGGATCAACGCGCGCGCTCGTCGCGACGCGCGGCGCCTGGGCGCGCCCCTCGTTTTCTTGCAGGCCGTTGACGAGCGCAGCGCGATTCGGGGCGATCCCGACGCGGACCGGCGCCTCCTGAACGTCCCGAACGTGCGCGAGACGGGGGACATCCACGGCGTCTCGCGGCCGGCCCGCGTCGGCATGGAGGTGCGATTCACGGCAGTGCAGGAAGAGCTGAAGGAGAAGTTGGGGCTCGCGCAGGAGCAGCGGGCCACCGTCGCGCCCTTCGAGTTCCACCGCGAGGGCGAGCAGCGGCGCGAGGGGCGCTCGGCAGGCCAGGTCTTTCGCCCGTGGTCCTACCGCAGGGAATTTGGCTGCAGGTGCGCGGCGTCAGGGAGTCTCCGATCTGCCAGGAGGTCGCCGAGGTGCTGCGACAGGGCGCCGAAGACGCCGAGGGCGACGGCCAGGCCGAGGCGCGGGCTCGGAGCTTGCTGATGTTCAGGCCCGGCGATCAGGAGTTCACCTGGCAGAGCTCGGGGCCGCGCTTTGTGCGCCGCTCGGGGTTCACCTTGACTCGCGCGTCCTACCTCGCCTCCGCGCTGTCGCTGGGCCAGACGCTGCGCAAGGGCGTCGCCGTCGACTGCGCGTGGGGCGAGGGCGCTGGCCGCGCGGGCATTTCGGGCGACCAGTGGTGGCTGCGCCTCTACGTGATGCTCTCCCGCGCCTCGTGCGTGCGGGACGTGCTGATCCTGCGGCCGCCTTCGCGCGAGTTCCTGGGGCGCGGGCCGCCGGCTTCGCTGCGGGGGGCGCTCGAGGAGTTCGATGGGAAAGCGAAGACCTCCATGGGGTGATGCCGAGCAGTTCGCCGCGGAGCTTGGCTTCGCGCTGCCTCCCGCCTGAGCGCCGCGGCGCGCGGCTTGAAGCCCGCGGGGTTGCCCCGGCGGTCTGGCCCGCGGGGTGGCCCCGGCGGCCTGCCCTCGCGCCCCAGCGGCCCGCGGGGTTGTCCCAAAGGCGTGGCCCGCGGGGCTGTCCCAGAGGGGCTTCGCGATCTAGCCGTCGGCGAACGCGCGCGCGTGGGTCGAGGCGGCGTCGGCGCCGAGGAAAACCGACTTGCTTGCCCCGACCAGGGAAGGAGATGCACACAGGGAATCGGCAGAAGGATGAAGAGGGGGGCAGGGGTAGAAAGGGCGATGATGACGAGGAGGTGGAGAAGGATGAGTAGGTGGAGGAGGAGGAGGAGGAGGATAGACAAAAAGGAGGAGGAAGAAGAGAGAGCAGAGCTCCGGGCGAGAAAACTATGTCCGCCAGGGCGACGGGGGAAGGGCGATGGGGTTTTACCGTCGGAGTAATTTGAATATCTTTTATTTTTCGTCCACAATCCGCCTGTAGGGGGACTTGCCCGACCTACGCATATTGAATACTTTTCGGCTTCTCTGGGGATGCCTCTCGGGGGCCTCCACAGACATCCGGCTGCGTCCATGTTTTCTGTTGCGTGGGCGCCAGGGGGCTGGACCACTTCCCTAGCAAGAGGTCCTGTCACTCCTCCTCTCACCTCCTTCTGCCCCTTTTCCTCCTCCTCCTCCTCGTCCTCCTCCCCCTTCCTCCTTCTCCTCATATCTTCTTCTCCCCCTCCTCAAGCCTGGGACTCACCGGGTGTTGAGTTCGAGCGTCTTTCGGTAAAAACCTCTTCATTCAGCTGGCTGATTTTTCGTTCTTGACGATGGGATTGACGAGGGGCCCCAGGGGCGGACGACAACCCCAAACAGCCTGGCTCCAATTTTTTTGGAGCGTCGGATCTCTGTTTCTGGGGCCTTTGGGGGCCTTCTGGGGGGCCTCTTGCGGGTCTATTGGGGCCTCATGGGGGCTTCTGGGGCTCTCCTCCGGGCGTGCTGGCGGCCTCGGAGGCCAGCTCGGGCGACTCTTGCTGTGCTGGCTTGGTGGGTTCTCGAGCCGCCTCGGGGCCTCCTCGAGCCGCCCTCGTTCTCGTCCTCGATCTCCTCCCCCTCGCCGTCGTCCTCGTCCTCCCCCTCGTCCTGCGAGCGAGCGGGGGGTCCAGCGGCAGCGGTGCACGACGGCCGCCCGCCGCTGCTGTAGGCAACTGGCGCCGACGGCCGCCCGCCCCGCCCATCGCTGCCGAGCTCCCTCGGGGCCGCCTCGGGGCCGCCTCGGGGCCTGCGGATGCCCAGAAACGACCCTTCTTTGGCGCCCGCGGGGGGGGCCCTCCTCCCGGGGGCCCCGTCGGGGCCGTCTCTGGGGCCCGTGGGGCCGTCCTGAAGCCGTCTGCGGGCTTTCTCTTGGGGCGCTCCGGACCTTGGGCGCTCCCTCGGGGCACTCCTGGGGCTCCCCGGGGGCTGCAGCGGGGTGGGGAAGCCAGCGCTCTGGAGCTCTGGCATCCCTGAGGGGACCCCGCGGGAGCATTTCTTCTTCGGACCCCAGGGGGGGGTCTGAATCTCTGGCTGGAGATTATAGCCAGCCTTCGGCCTGTTGAGCTGACTATTCTAGTATAGCCGATGCTTTTTTTTTTTTACGAGTCGGAGTTTGACATGAATTGAATCGCTTCGCTCATTCCGCCGGCCCATTTCGCATGAGTGAGCCTCTTGGGGCCGCTGGGGGGCCTCTTCAGCGTCGCTTGGGGGCCTCCTGAGGGCCTTTTGGGGGGTTTTGGGGCCTCTCAGGGGCCTCTTGAGGCCTCCTGGGGGCTTCTTAAGGCCGAGGGCTCGAAGTTTTGTTTTGTGTTCCCCCTTTGGGGCATCGCTTGGGGCCCTCTTGGGCCCCTCTTGGGCCGTCTTGGATGCCTCTGGGGCCGTCTTGGAGCCCTCTTGGGCCATCTTGGGGCCTTCTTGGGAGCTTCTTGGGCCCTCTTGGGGCGATCTTGGGGGCCTCTTGGGCCGTCTTGGGGCGTCGGGAAGCCGAAAACATGGACACGCCAAAATCTGCCCAAAACCTATGGAAAAGTAATGAATTTTGCCTCTTGGGGCCCTCTGGGGAGTGCTCTTGGAGGCCTCTTGGGGCGTCTGGGGGCCATCTTGGGCGTCTTGGAACGATCGTGTGGCATCTCGGAGCACTCTTGAACCATCTTGGAGGGCTCTTGGCGGCCTCGTGGCCCTTCTTGGGGCTCTCTGGAGGGCCACGGGGGCGGCGCCCAGGAGGAAAACCATCTCTGACCCGAGTCTGCCGGGGATCGCCCGGGGTACTTTGCGTCCGGGGACCCCCAGGGGCCGCCCCGCGCGCGCGAAGTAGAAGTATTATTTAGCAGTTACCGGAGATCTTAGCACGCCTCTGGCCCGTTGGGCCGGCGAATAGGGTACTTCTTTATCCCATGACAATGACGGGGGAAGAGGGGGGAACATCACCGGTGAAGGCTGTTGAAAAGTTGAAAAGCGCGCTCATGCTACTCCCCTCGCCCCCTTGATCATGTGCAGCGGTGCCACCCCCGCCTCTGCCGCGCTCTACTTTCCATACACTGGACTTTCGATTCCCGTGGTGATCTGTTATGCTCTATGCGCTTTTCAGTCGGAGCGTCCTCGCCCCATTCAAGTATGGCGCTCCCGATGCAGCGCTGGCCACGCCTCAGGATCGGTGCCATTCTCCCGTGTTCCGAGTAGGCGCTCTCGCCCCAGCGCGGGCCGTGCACCTCTGGTTCCGAATCCTTCTCCGTTGTTGCCGTCCCCGTCCCGCCTCCTCCGCCCTCCCCTTGTCCTCCTGCTCCTCCTGAGTGTTCCTCCCGCTCCTGCTCCTTCCTTCCTTCCTCCTGCTCATCCACCTCCTCCCCTCCCCGCCTTCCGAGTGTGCGAGCAGCGCGGGTGCGCAGTTGCCCGAACGTGTTGGCGTATATCCCTGATGCGCACTTGCGCGCGAGTTTCCACATGCAGGATGCACAGACTGCTCATCAGCTGCGTGCCGCTGCTCCTCCCCCGCCTCCCTTCCCCTCGTCCGCCCTCCCTCTGGCGTCCGCCCTCCTCATCCGCCTCCTCTCCCTCCCCCCCCCTCTCAGCGCTCCCCCCTCCCCCGCCCGCCCGCCCTCTTCACCCCCATCCTGCTGCTCTCTTCCTTGCCCCCGCGGCAGGGAGCCAGCTGTACTACGGGGAGTGCAAGGCCGGGCGACGAGAAGTTTGCACACAAACGCCGGCCTTGGCCAGGCCCATCCTGGGCCCAGGATCGGTGCACGTGACTTCCTGGCCAAGGCAGGAGGGCGAATGCACCGATTCTGGGCTCAGGATGGGCCTGGCCAGAATCGGTGCATGCGCATAGCCCTCTGTCCCCTGAAACAGCGGCACAAACAACAACTCGGACACGGTTTTCAAGGGAGGAATAACCACCCTGACTGGGCAATTGGCGTTTCTTACACGGCCTTGGGCTTTTACTAAACAGCCCTGCCCTGTTCGCTTCCTTCTGTGGGGGCGTTTAGTACACGGCCTCGCTTGTCGGGGTGGTTATTACGGGGTATGGATCTTTTGCCCTCTATGTTTGCTCCCCTTCAAGGCCGGCTTCAAGCAGCGCTACGGCACCTTCGTGCGGCACGGCTTCGGCAAGGCGGCCCCGTGCCCCCCCCCCCGGTCTCGGCACGGGCCGCCGCCCCCCTCTGCAGCGGCGATCCTCTCCGCAGCGTCTCGGGCGGCCCACCTCCTCAGCCTGCAGCAGAAGCAGCAGCAGAAGCAGGAACAGCGGGGTGGAGGAAAGGAGGAGGAGGACGAGGAGGAGGAGGAGGAGGACGAGGAGGAGGAGGAGGAGGAAGAGGCGGATGATGATGATGATGATGATGATGATGATGATGATGATGATGATGATGATGATGATGATGATGATGAGGAGGAGGAGAGAGGAGGAGGAGGAGGAGGAGGAGGAGGAGGAGGAGGAGGAGGAGGAGGAGGAGGAGGAGCAGGAGGAGGGAGAAGGCCAGAGGATGATGGAGGAGGAGGAAGAGGAGGAGTCCTTCCTCCCTCCCGCCCACCCAACCCGCAGGCCGTTTTGGGACCTCTCTGGGGCCATCTTGAGAGCTTCTCGGGCCACATGGGGCTCTCCTGGGCCGTACTGAGGCCTTTTTGGCGGCTTCTTCGGCCGTCCGGGGGCCTGCACATGCACGTTTTCCTGCTGGATTGGGCAGCTCTTTGCTTATTGGGGCCATCTTGGGATTCCTCTCGGAGCCCTTTGCTAGTGTCTCAGATCGCAGGCCCACAGGGTGACACCAACACCAATATCGGCGGTGTGCCTCCACCGAGGGACGAAGATCCCGATCTCGGTGATGGTGGTAATACTATGGCTTCCAAGGTGACCGAAATATTACCACCAACACCGAAATCCAGGATCATTTTCCCCCTGTGGAGGCAAACCCCTGTGTTGGTGTTGGTGCCCATTTCCAGGCCTCAAAGTGGAGGCGTAGATTGGGCCGCCCCCCCGAGGCCATCTTGAGCCGCCCTGGGTGCCTCGAGGGCCGTCTCTTGAGGCCATGTAGTGGGGCGCATCGGGGCCGCGTGCGGCCGTTTTGAGGCGGCTGCAGGTGAGATTGCATGATGCGCGGAATGGGTCAGCGACTCTGCCGGGGGTCCAGGGGGGGGGGATTCAGCAGCGATAGGGGGGGGATAGGCATAGGGGAATACCGGGGGGGATGCATCGACCCCCAATCGCCCAGTGATCGGCGATAGGGGCCCGATCGCCCCAACCTGCCCAGGAAGGTGCGAATTCACTATCGAGGGCCTGTCGCCGATCTATCGGCGATGTATCGCCGATTCCAGGTCGATGTTCCCCCACCTATCCCTATCCCCCCTTATCGTTGCCCCTCATTGCATGATGCGCGGAATGGGTCGGCGACTCTGCCGGGGGTCCAGGGGGGATTCAGAGGGGGGGCGATCTGCAAAAGGTGATATGCACTGCATCGCGATGTGGACCTCCCTGACGTAATTCTTGTGGTCTGACCCCTGCGCCGCACACGCCCATCCCTTTCGGACTGCCGAGACGCCTCGCTTAATTGCGGACGTAGATAGATCTTGGGTTTACTCTGGTCGTCCGCCTTCTCCTCGTCTACCTCGTCGTCGTCGTCGTTGTCGAAAACGTCGAAACCGTCGTCGTCGTCGTCGTCGTCGTCGTTGTCGTCTGACTCCTTCTCGTTACCTTGTCTTCTTTGTGCTCCTGCCCCTCCTCCCTTCGTCCCCGCCCCCCATCTGTTGTTCATAGGTTGCTCTTGGAAAGTGCGATTTTTACTTTCGCGTGGGCAGGGAGTGGGGGTTTGGTACCCCCCATCGACCCTCCCCCTGAGCAAGAGGGGGCGGGTCCGTTACGCCCCCCCCCGTCGCGTAACCCTCCTCCTTACGTCATCGTCGTGGTCGTGGTCATGGTGGTGGTCGTCGTCGTCGTCGTCGTCGTCGCGTCCGTCGTCGTCGTCGTCGTCGTCAGCATCGTCGTCGTCGTCGTCTTCGTCGTCATTGTCGTCGTCTTCGTCGTCGTTGTCGTCGCCTGCCGGCGGCGAGAAGGGCGGGGTGGGGTGGGGGGGAGGGGCTTGGGAGGGAGGGGTCCCCCAGTTTCGGAAGGGGCCTCTGGATATTTTTTCGGGGGGGCGGTGGTTTCGAGACCCCCCTTCTTGGGAGTTTCCCGAGGTCAGCCAACTTGAGATGTGCACTCTTTCTCACTGTTCTCGGCACGCGCACCGAAGCAGGGCCTAACTTCCGAAGCGATCGATCGGATTCGATGTCGATTCTTGCCCGCTCGATCGGATCCGGTTCCGAGATTCTGGCGACATGATACGGCCCAATGCGTGCATGGCGCTGCTGTGCACCTCGGCGCGGCCGATCCGATTCGACTTCGACTCCGCACCGACGCGGGCCGATCCGACGCACATTTCGTGGGCGAACAATTATCTGTATACAGTCAGGGCGCTGAAGAAGGAACCCTTCTCGTTGGGGAGGGGCTCGGTGTTCCTTGATTGTTTTACAGCTTGGCTTGGGTTTTCCTGAGGTTTTCGATGGGAAATCGAAGCGTAACTTTTGGGATCAAGGGGCCTCGTTCCTTATTTAAGGTTCCTTAGGTCAACGCCCCGACTGTGCGCGGCCTCGCGGGCTGGGCCCCTGGGCCGCGACCCAGCGGATGCGGGGCATTCTTTCGCGGATGCCCCGCGCGGAACGTATCCGCGCGACCGCGTATCCGCGGGATCGCGCCCCGGAATCCACACCGCGACGGCGCGGATACGGATATGTCTGCCGTTCTTGAGAGCTTCGACTCGGTCCAACTTCCGCTACGATGCGCACTGCTCTTGCTCTCTGTTCTCGGCACGCCCGCCGAAGTCGTCGCAGAGGATCGCACGCTCGCGCGCTCTTCCGCGGGTGCGCGCGTGTCCGGGCGCCCTGCCCCAGCTCGTGGACGCGGCGGTGTCGCCGGTGGGCATCAGGCCCGAGCTCGGCCAGGAGGGCGGGGGGCGGGGAGTTTTCGGGTTGGAGGTTTTCGGGCGTTTTCGTCGGTGTTCGGCAGTTTTCCAACCTCGGGCTGCGTCCCAGCAGCTGCGTCTCGCCGAGAGCGCCCCGGGTGTGTGTCGGGTCGTCGCGAGCGGCAGCCCGAGGTCCGAGTTGTGGCCCGAGAGCCGCAGACCGAGTCAGGGGCAACGTCAGGGGGGTGAAGGCTCGGGGGCCTCTTGGGGGCCTCTTGGGGACCTCTTGGGGCTTCTTCTTGGGGGGCTCTGGGGGCCTCCTGGGAGCGTCTTGGGGCGAAAGGCTAGACTTTCGGGTTCGTGGTCCCCCTCTAGGGGGGGTGCATCGACCCCCGATCGCCCACGGATCGCCGATGGGGGGCCTGATAGGCCACCCCGCCCAGGACCGCGCGGTTTCGCTATGGAGAGCCTCTATGCCGGCGAGGCGTCGCCGAGCTGTCGGCGAGGGATCGCCGTCGCCAGGCCGATGTTTCCTCCCGGAGCCGTGCCCCCTTGTCGTTGCCCCTCATCTCCTGGATGGGGAGGGGGGAGGGGCGAAAGTGGGGGAGGAGGCGAGTTGCAGTCTGGCAGCAGCAGTGGCTGAGCGCGGTATGGTTCCAGCTTTGCAGCCAGTGCCAGCAAGAGCTGCACCTGGCCATTCGGTTCTGAGGCTCCGGCGCGCTGTCTGGTGCCGTTCCGCCCGTGACTGACGGGGGGGCGACGACAGGGGCGAGGATGGGGAGGGGAGTGGACGGGGAGCAGAGTGAGCTATCGGGATCCGGCAGAGGACGGGGGAGGGTGAATGTGATGAGCAGGGTGATGGTGGTGAAGATTCTGGTGGTGGCGATGCCGCGGAATGTGGTTGTGATGATGAGCGGGTGACGATGGTCGTGATGATGATGCTGCTGATGACGATGATGCTGCTGCTGATGATGATATTGATGGTGATGGTGCTGATACTGTTGCTTATTAGGACTACTGTGCCAATGGATGCTGCTGCTGCTGATGATGACGGTGATGGCGGTGATGTTGGGTCGTGATATTGACGAAGGTGGTTGTGATGAAGTGTTAATCTGATTGTGCTGGTGTTGGTTTTGGTTATGGCTATCGTGATGGTGATGATGATTGTGCTGTTGTTGATGATGGTGATGATGAGTATGCTGCTGTTGATGATGATGCTGATGATGAACATACATGCAGTTGAACATGATGATGCGGAAGATGGTGACAATGATGATGACGATGATGAGTATGATGATGCTGCTGCTGATGATGATGATGCTGATACTGATGATGATGATGATGATGATGATGATGCTGATGATGCTGATGATGATGATGCTGATGATGCTGATGCTGATGCTGATGCTGATGATGATGATGATGATGATGATGATGATGCTGATGATGATGATGATGATGATGATGATGCTGATGCTGCTGCTGATGATGCTGATGCTGATGCTGCTGATGCTGCTGCTGCTGCTGATGATGATGATGCTGTGGGTAAGAGGATGAAGTCATGTTGAGGACTACCCTGTTGATGGTGGGGGTGCTGATGGTGCGCGTGATGCTGATGATGGTGCTGACGATGGTGATGAGGATGGGACGGAAGGGCGTGGTTGTCCCTTGTACGCATGTCTCCTCGGTGCCGTGTGTTCTCGCCTCGAACTCTTTGAATCTCGATCCCTTGGTATTTCCGCGCCAGTCCCTGCGCTCCTTCTGCATTTCTCTCCAGCACATTTCTCGCATGTGTTGGCTAACGCCAGATCGGTACGTCGAGCATCCCGCCCACAACGGCACTGCTGACCCGCCAGTAAATGGGGCAGCCGAGTTGCGAACGAGCGCGAAACCGCTCGCCCAGATGTGTTCGCTTTGTTGTCGCCCCGCTCGACGGCTGCCGAGCCCCCCATCCCCTGGAGACGCCCTGGGGCAGTGACACACCCGGGCAGGGATCGAGCTTCCTGGCCTCCACGCGGTGGGCGTCGAGGGCAGCCACAGCGTAGACTACGAATGACATTTCTCATATCGAGAGTGCCAATGCCATGAAGAAGCGGAACACACTCGCAAAGCATACTAGTTACAGGAAGCATACGCTGAGTCGTCAGAATAATGATGCTAGGAATCTATTCGCAACTGCAGCACGGGCAGCGTCGTGGCAGGACAAGCGCGCTGTGCCCTGCCGCCCCGAAGGAGCTTGCGTACGAGACGGTGGTGCTGGCCACGCGCCCACGCCCTCTGCGCGGGGTGGTGGTGAGATGATGATGATGATGATGAGGATGAGGACGAGGATGAGGACGAGAAGGGGGAGGATGAGGATGAGGAGGAGGAGGAGGAGGAGGAGGAGGAGGAAGAGCGGGAGGAGGAAGGGGATGATGATGATGATGATGATGATGATGATGATGATGATGATGATGATGATGACGATGATGATGATGATGATGATGAGGATGAGCATGATGATGCTGATGCTGATGCTGATGCTGCTGATGATGATGATGATGACGATGATGATGATGATGATGCTGATGATGATGATGATGATGATGATTATGATGATGATGATGGTGGTGATGATGATGATGAGGGTGATGACGACGACGACGATGCTGATGACGATGATGCTGCTGACGGTGCTGACGACGATGCTGATTATGATGGTGACGATGATGATGATGATGATGATGATGATGATGATGATGATGATGATCATGAGGATGAGGATGATTATTCAGATGCAGATGCTGATGATGACGATGATGATGGTGCTGCTGATGATGATGGCGATGCTGATGATGCTGATGACGATGCTGACGCTGCTGATGATGTTGGTGATGATGCTGCTGCTGTTGATGATTCTGCTGATGCTGATGATCATGATGCTCATGATGATGCTGATGCTGATGCTCATGATGATGCTACTGCTGCTGCTGATGATGCTGGCGCTGATGCTGATGATGCTGATGATTGTGATGCTGCTGATGGTGACGATGCTGCTGCTGCTGTTGATGATGATGCTGATGATGATGCTGGTGCCGATGATGATGATGATGATGATGACGATGATGATGATGATGATGATGATGATGATGATGCTGATGATGCTGATGATGATGATGATGATGATGATGATGATGATGATGATGATGATGCTGATGATGATGATGATGATGATGATGATGATGATGATGATGATGATGATGATGATGATGATGATGCTGATGATGATGATGATGATGATGGATGATGATGATGATGATGATGATGATGATGATGACGACGATGATGATGATGATGATGATGATGATGATGATGATGATGCTGATGATGATGATGATGATGATGATGCTGCTGATGATGATGATGCTGATGATGATGCTGATGGTGATGATGATGAGGATGAGGATGAGGATGAGGATGCTGATGATGCTGGTTAATGATGTTGATGACGCTGCTGATGCTGCTGATGCTGATGCTGATGCTGTCGATGCTGATGGTTGTGTTGATGATGCTGATGACGCTGATGATACTGATGATGATGATGCTGATGCTGATGATGAAGATGATGATGATGATGATGATGATGATGATGATGATGATGATGATGCTGATGATGATAATGATGATGATGATGATGATGATGATGATGATGATGATGATGATGATGATGATGATGATGATGCTGACGGTGGTCATGCTGATGCAGTTGATCATTCTGATGATGATGATGATGATGATGCTGATGATGATGATGATGATGATGATGATGATGATGATGATGATGATGATGATGATGATGATGACGATGCTCATCGTGATGGTGATGATGATGACAAGGGTGATGATGAGATGAAGGATGAGGAGTGGGTGAAGAAGGAGGAGGATGAGAAGGAGGAGGCGGAGCAGGCGGAGGAGGAGGATGAGGAGGAGGAGGAGGACCAGGAGGAGGAGGACGAGGAGGAGGAGGAGGAAGAGGGCGGAGGAGGAGGAGGAGGAGGAGGAGGAGGAGGAGGAGGAGGAGGAGAGGGGAGGAGGGAGGAGGGAGGAGGGAGGAGGAGAGGAGGGAGGAGGAGGAGGAGCGGCAGGAGGATAGGGGAGGAGGGGGAGGAGGGGGAGGGAGGGGGAGGAGGAGGAGAGAGGAGGAGGAGGGAGGAGGAGGAGGAGGAGGAGGAAGGAGAGGCGGAACGAGGAGGCAGTGCGGGGGGAGAGGAGGAGGAGGAGAGGAGGAGAGGAGAGGAGGAGGAGAGGCGGAGGAGGGAGGCGAGGCGGAGGAGGAGGAGGAGGAGGAGGCTGAGGGAGGAGGAGAGGCGGAGGAGGAGGAGGAGGGGAGGAGGAGGAGGAGGAGCGGAGGAGAAGGAGGAGGAGGAGGAGGAGAGGCAGGAGGAGGAGGAGGAGGAGGAGGAGGAGGAGGAGGAGCAAGAACCTCCTGGGGCCCTCATGTAAACAGAAACAACACGTCGTATTGCTGGGGAGGGGTACGTGCTGTTTTTCGCACCGCGCTGCGTGTCGTAGGCATTTTCCACGCGTGCTGTCATCGACCCTGCTTTTCTTGCGCGCGAGTCAACTGCGTCCTGACCACCCACGTGCACTGGTTTGGTGGTTGTAGATTTGGGCGTGTCCCGCTCTAGTGCTCGCCGCGCTGGATCAGCCAACCGTGGAGGGGGAACATCTGTCAGGGGAGGGGTCTTCGTGCGTGGAGGCGAGGGGGCGCAGGGTGGCCCCAGAGGGGGCCCGCCCCCCGCCGAGGCAGCTCCCCCAGCCGGCCGCCCGGCGCTGGCGGCGGGCCGCAGGGTCGGGAGCCTTGAGACGGGGGTCAATGCAAACGGGGGTCAGCCAGAGCGCCCGATTTTGCAGGATCCTGCAGGGCCAGGGTCGCAGTGACCCGGGCTTGGGTGCAGGATCCTGCAGGATCTTGCAGGATCCTTCGCATTGACCCGGGTCTGGGTGCAGGATCTTGCAGGATCTTGCGGGATCCTGCAAGGCTTGACTGACCCGGGTCTGGATTGACCCGGGTCAGCAGGTCCCCGACAAAGCAACGTCGTTCAGCTGTGCCTCTCACTTTTCCGGGTTCCCCTGCGGCGCATTCGTTTGCCATTCAGTTTTCACCTATTTCGAGGCGCTTTGATGCGCTTACTGTTGCTACTACCTGTTATTTATGGCGCCTGCGTGGAACATGGGCGCGGGTCGCTCGTGCCATGAATGATTCATTTGTTTGTTAGCGCACGCGTACATACGTGCATAAACGTACCCCTTACATACATGCACGCGTACATACGCACGCACACACACACACATAGGTACATACGTGACACATGTACATATTCGCATGTTTATGCACGCACCTTTCCAGATGCAGATGCATACAAACACATCTGCACACATGTTGAACATGTGCAGTTGAATTTCAGTCGTGTGCGTATACGTATACGTTTTCGTATACGTAGAGATACACCTGTACACGTTCAGGCAATCTACATGTACGCATACATCCACGCACATTCATTTCTGAATACGTACACGTGCACTCATACCTATACGTATTAACGTAACATATCCGCCACCGTGCCTGGGTTGTGGGTCAGAGTTCTTGGTGGTGCTTTTGGTGGTCTCTTCGGAACGCTCTCGGGGGCCCCTTGGGGGCAGTTGTGGGGCCTCTTGGGGTCCCCTTGGGGGCTCCTTGGGGCGTCCTGGGGGCCACTTGGGGCCGAGGGGTCGACATGTCCGCTCGGGTTCCCCATTTGCGTCCCCTCTTGGGGCCGTCTTTTGGCTCTGTCTGAGCCGTTCTGGACGCCTTTGGGGCCGTCTCGTGGCCCTCTTGGGCCGCTTTGGGGCCCTCTTGGGGGCCTCCTGGGCCGTCTTGGGGCGATCTTGAGGGCCTTCAGGGCTGCCTGGGAGCGTCGGGAAGCTGAAAACGCGAGGGCGCCAGAACGAATCCAACAACCCAATGACAATTTTTCAGGTTTGGCCTCTCGGGAGGCTTCTCGTAGGCCTTCGGGGGCGTCTTGGAGGCCTCTTGGGCCGTTTGGGGGCCATCTTGACCGTCTTGAGGCCGTCGTTCGGCGACTCGGGGCCCTCTTGGACCGCCTTCGGGGCCTCCTGGGGCTCCTGTAGCCCGGTCTGGAGCCTTCCTGGGCCCGAGCAAGTCATGCGACAAGCCGCGACGGGTCCCACGGGGCACGCGGGAAGCCCCGGTGGATCCGAGGATTTGGGCGCCAGGCCCCCCGAGCAGATTCCTCAGGAGTGAGGACTGAGGCTTGAGGGATTCGGCAAAGGACCTGAGGACACGCCCACTCCGTGCCGAACGGCACGGTGGCGGGCATTTGCACATGCACATACACAGAAACATACACGTGCACATACGTATGTGTTTATGTGTGTACGTGTGTATGTGTGTGCGTGTGTGCGTGTGTGCGTGTGTGCGCGTGCGAAGCATCAACCACACATGGGCGACGCACTGGCGCCGGTTCCACGCCTACTTCGATCTTTTGTCTGTCTTGCTTATCCGAGATCGGCGCGAGCGCGTCCTCCTCGGACGCCCCGGGGCGCGCTGGTTTCCCCAGGCTTTTTTCATTCCTTGTGCCCAGTCGGGGCCAGGGGCGGAGGAGGAGGAGCAGGTGGAGCAGGAGGGGGGCCGGGAGCAGGACAAGGATGATGATGCTGATGATGATGATGATGATGATGATGGTGATGATGATGATGATGATGACGATGACGATGACGATACGATGAATGATGATGATGATGATGATGATGATGATGATGATGATGATGATGATGATGATGATGATGATGATGATGATGATGATGATGATGATGATGATGATGATGATGATGATGATGATGATGATGATGATGTTGATGATGTTGATGATGATGCTGATGATGATGTTGATGGTGATGGTGATGGTGATGGTGATGGTGATGATGATGTGATGCTGATGATGCTGTTGATGATGTTGATGTTGATGTTGATTGTGGTGATGATGATTATGATGATGATGATGATGATGATGATGATGATGATGATTATGATGATGATGATGATGGTGGTGGTGGTGGTGGTGGTGGTGGTGGTGGTGGTGGTGGTGATGATGATGATGATGATGATGATGATGATGATGATGGCAGTGGTCACGGGGCCGCTGGGGCCAGGACAGAGCCGAGCTGGGGCTGGGCAGCGAGTTCGGGGCGCGCGGGGCTGGCCCGGATGCAGAGCCAGGTCGGGAGCCAGAGTCAGTACTGTCGCCACCTTCGAGGGCTGCTGAGGGGTTCAGCGGAGTGAGGCACCACCCAGACTCAGAATGGACCTCGCCATCCCTGGGGGCTCTGCGATCTGCGAAACTGTCGCCACTTTCGAGGGCTGCTGGGGGGTTCAGCAGAGTGAGGCACCACCCAGACTCAGATTAGACCTCGCCATCCCTGGGGTGCTGTGATCTGCGAAATTGTCGCCACCTTCGCGGACTGCTGGGGGGTTCAGCGGAGTGAGACACCACCCAGACTCAGATTAGACCTCGCCATCCGGGGGGGGGCTGCGATCTGCGAAACTGTCGCCACTTCCGAGGGCTGCTGAGGGGGTTCAGCGGAGTGAGACACCACCCAGACTCAGATTAGACCTCGCCATCCCTGGGGGCTCTGTGATTTGCCAAACTGTCGCCACTTTCGAGGGCTGCTGAGGGGTTCAGCGGAGTGAGGCACCACCCAGACTCAGAATGGACCTCGCCATCCCTCGGGGGATGCGATCTGCGAAACTGTCGCCACTTTCGAGGGCTGCTGAGGTGTTCAGCAGAGTGAGGCACCACCCAGACTCAGAATGGACCTCGCCATCCCTGGGGGGCTGTGATCTGCGAAGCTGTCGCCACTTTCGAGGGCTGCTGAGGTGTTCAGCAGAGTGAGGCACCACCCAGACTCAGAATGGACCTCGCCATCCCTGTGGGGCTGCGATCTGCGAAACTGTCGCCACTTTCGAGGGCTGCTGGGGGGTTCAGCGGAGTGAGGCACCACCCAGGCTCAGAATGGACCTCGCCATCCCTGGGGGGCTGTGATCTGCGAAACTGTCGCCACTTTCGAGGGCTGCTGGGGGGTTCAGCAGAGTGAGGCACCACCCAGACTCAGATTAGACCTCGCCATCCTGGGGGGCTGTGATCTGCGAAACTGTCGCCACCTTCGAGGGCTGCTGGGGGGTTCAGCGGAGTGAGGCACCACCCAGACTCAGATTAGACCTCGCCATCTGCGAAGCTGTCGGTGCTGGGGAAAGTTGTCGCCACCAGGAGAGCTGAGGCACCACCAGACTCAAATGGACCTCGCCATCCCTGGGGGGGGGGCTGCGATCTGCTAAACTGTCGCCACCTTCGAGGGCTGCTGGGGGGTTCAGCGGAGTGAGGCACCACCCAGACTCAGATTAGACCTCGCCATCCCTGGGGGGCTGTGATCTGCGAAACTGTCGCCACCTTCGAGGGCTGCTGGGGGGTTCAGCGGAGTGAGGCACCACCCAGACTCAGATTAACCTCGCCATCCCTGGGGGGGGGCTGTGATCTGCGAAACTGTCGCCACTTTCGAGGGCTGCTGAGGGTTCAGCGGAGTGAGCACCACCCGACTCAATTAGACCTCGCCATCCCTGGGGGGCTGTGATCTGCGAAGCTGTCGCCACTTTCGAGGGCTGCTGGGGGGTTCAGCGGAGTGAGGCATCACCCATACTCAGAATGGACCTCGCCATCCCTGGGGGGCTGTGATCTGCGAAACTGTCGCCACTTTCGAGGGCTGCTGGGGGGTTCAGCAGAGTGAGGCACCACCCAGGCTCAGATTAGACCTCGCCATCCTGGGGGGGGGGGCTGCGATCTGCGAAACTGTCGCCACTTTCGAGGGCTGCTGAGGTGTTCAGCAGAGTGAGGCACCACCCAGACTCAGATTAGACCTCGCCATCCCTGGGGGGCTGCGATCTGCGAAACTGTCGCCACCTTCGAGGTCTGCTGGCGGGTTCAGCAGAGTGAGGCACCACCCAGACTCAGATTAGACCTCGCCATCCCTGGGGGGGCTGCGATCTGCCAAACTGTCGCCGCTTTCGAGGGCTGCTGGGGGGTCCCGCGGGGCGCTGTCGCGGGCCGCCCGCAGACCTGGCGGCGCGCCTTCGAGTGTTTAGCCCCCGCACTGAAAAGTGCGGGAAGGAAGCAGGGACGCTGGCGGGCGAGCTAGGGCTCGCTCGCTTCCTTGCATTAATTATGCAGAAGCAGGCTTAATCCTTTTTGTTGAGCGCCGCGGCGTCATGGCGCAGGCAGCGCTACATCTCCAGCGTAATTACCACCGGCAATAGCTGCACTCGTCGGTCTCCTCCCGTCACTGTCGTCGTCGCCCTCCGTCCCTGCCACGTTCCCTCTGCTGCTGCCGCGCCGACGATTCGGCCCCCCCCGCGCGTCCTTCTCCTGCCCTTCGTTTCCGCCCCCATGGCCTCCTCAAGCCTGGGCCCTCGCTCCAAGTCCTCATGATGTTGTCCTGTGAATCGTGCCGCGTAGGCGCGCCCCGTGTAGCTCGCACAACATATAACGGTGCCTGCACTGTCATTGTCCTGGCAAGCTCGGGCCAAATCCTCTTATCACTCGATGCAGTTGAGTTGGGTGCGTCGCAGGGCACTTGTTTGTTTTTGTTTTTGTTTTTGTTTCTTATGCGAGGGACTGCTCTGTTGTCGGGGCAATCGCTCGCACAAGAAAACGATGCGCTTGCCAATCGAACTCTAGTGCGTGGCGCGCGCGGGGGGGTGCTCCGCTCGCACAGGGCAGGTCTGCTCCTGGACAGGGGCCCGCGCTTAACTTGGTCGCCCCGCGTGATTTCTCTTTCAGGCATCTTCGGCTGGCCCGCTAAGATATCCCAGCGACGAGGTCAGCTGATTTCTTTTATTTCTCTCTGTGTGGTGTCCAGCAACTTCTGCTAACTTTGGTAATCTCCTTCACTGCTCTCTCTTGTCCCTCTGGTCTCTCTCCCTGCTCTGTTTTCTTTTCTCCCTTCTCGCTTATTATCTTGCTGTCCTTCTCGCTCTGGACGCAGTGCTTGGAGGTACGACGGCAGGTGGCAGGACAACGTCCTGACGGGCCCCGGCACCGTCAAGTGGAGCGATGGCAGCGCGTACCCAGCTTCTGCTTTCCCACTCGCGTGCGTTTCAGCCGTCGCTTAGGTCACCCCCAGGGTCGCGAAGATAAGCGCGCTTCGCGCATCGCGGTTTGGGTTGGAGAGGTGCCCTTCTCCAGGGCGGCGCGAAGGCGCCAAGATTATGAGAGTCGGGCGTCGCGCATCGCGGGGCGCGACGCGTGAAGTTAGATGACCTAGATCGTCTTCCCCCCGGCCTCGTCCTCCCCCGCCCGATCCTATCTTTGCTACTCCCCCGTCCCCTTCCACGAGCACCCTCCCCTGCTTTCCCCTCCACTCGACACGGTTGACTCCCGCCAGACTGCTGACCAGTCAAGCTTCCGATCAACAAAAAATTCGGCCAGTGACCTTTTGTTTCCCAAGCAGGTTTTTGAGGGTTATGTGTGTTTTCCTGTGGCATGGAACACAAACGTGCACGCTCGCGCGACCTCTCCGGCAACACGTGCGGCGGACACACCGACGCGTGCTCCGCGTGACTATCAGGACCCAGACTTCCGCAGCAACCAGGATTTCCGATCAACATAGCGGCGAGTGCAAGCGGATGTGGATGTAGACCTTTGGGTTGTTTTGATTCGGCTTGTTACACGTGTCGTAAAGCAGCATGATATGAGGCTCCACCACGTCGACGGTTGGCCGACAACGCACAAACGCAGCTCATGGCTTCAAGGGTCGCCAACCGCGGGCATACAAGGTAGGCGTGGCGAGCACTTCGCTACGCTAGCAACCAGAAGAAGCATCACCACGCCAGCGCGGCCAACGACAATATGGCGACCGACGCAAACGCTGGGCCGACGACTTCACCGCGCACGTTCGGCAGCACAAGCGTGACGTGCATCCAGTGGCCGCGCCAATGATTGCAAAAGGACAGGGTTCGATCGGCGCCAGGCGTCCTCATGTGGTCGACACTCGGGCGCCAGTACACCTACCCCGCGTGTGCGCACCGGATCCAGGAGGCCATGGCCCCCCCCGTCTGGCCTTACTTTGGCTTCCCTCCTCCCTCCCCCCCTTTTCCTCCCCCGTCCCCCCTCCCCCCCCCTCCCCTGCCGTTCCCTCCTCCGCGCCTTCTCCCCCCCCCCCGCCCTCCTCTCCCACCGCCCTCTCCCGCTCCGCTCCCCCCTCCTGCTCCTGCTGCTCCTCCCGCTCTCCCCTCCCCCCCCCTCTTCCTCCCGCCCCCCCCCGTGCGCCGCCTGGCCCCTCGCGCCGCTTCCTCCTCTCGCGCCGCTTCCTGGCACATCGCTCGGGCGTGTGCGTTTCGTTTTTTGTTGTTTTTTGTTGTTTGTTTTCTTTTCTCCTCCCGGGCGAGGACGAGGAGAGCTTCTGGGGTCGTCAGGTGAGAAAACAGACGCACGACGCCGAAACGCGTGCGGGGAACGGACGCCTGAACGTCGTCGTGGGCGGCCAGGAGGGGGGTGATGACGTGTAGGGGGGGGGGGATATCATGGCGTGGGTCATGATATTTCCGCAGATTTCATGGCGCCTCTTCGTATCTCAATGCGTCCCGGGCCCCCCCTCCCCTGGGCCGCGCACGTGCCGCCGGGCATGATTTGGGTCCCCCCTTTTGGACGCCCCTCGCTTGGCCGCCCCCGACGATGGCAAGTGCTGGCCGGGACCAAGGCCGAGGAGGCAAGGGAGGCACGGCCCGCCCTTGCCTAGCTTTCAGGCGGGCCTGCCTTTCTACAGGAGGGAGCATTCAAAAGCAGTCAAAAAGTAGTTTGGAGACGACATTGTGAGTATTTTTGGTGCTATTTTTGAGCACGTGTTTTTTTGTGTTTCATATGTGTTTTTTTTTTTTGTGTGTGTGTGTGTGTGTGCGTGTGTGTGTGTGTGTGTTTTACTGTTAGTCAGTCGTCCAAAATCTGCCTGCGGGGGGACATGCCCGACCTAGGTCTTGCGACTTGCGGAAAGAATAAACGCACGAAGCCCGAGCGGTGGCAGTTGGCAGGCCAGGAGCGAGGCCGAGGAGGCAGGGGAGGCCCGCCACGCCCCCGCCTGCAGTGGAGGCCAGTCCGCAAGCAACCTCCTACTACAAGAAGCCCAGCCCCGAGACCCCTGGGCGCCTCCCGATACCAGGAGGTCGCAAGCATAGAGCATGGGGGCTTGGCTTAGCGACGGGTCCCGTTTCCACAGGAAATCGCGGATTCCCGCCGCCGAGCGGAGCGGCATTGGCTGCATTTTGGGGGGGACACCTCCCCCGATTCATGGATTTGGCGATCGCGCGCCAGATCCATGGGTCGCTAATCCATGTTTGCGCGCCCCCGATGATAGTTGGTGGGGGAACGTCACACTTCCCATCTCAGAACCATCGAAGCCCAAGAAACCCAGGGCGCCCTGGAGTTCGGATGCAATTCCCGGCAGGTCAAATTCTGATTTTGCCCTGGTCCGAAATCCGGCTAAATCCCGCTCAATCCTGTCTAATCTGGCTTAATCCGGCTTGATCCCGTTCAATCCGGCTTCATCCCGCTTGATCCGGCTTGATCGGGCCTAATCTTTTTTCATCCTTCCGACGAAAACCTCCCAGCCGTTGCCTCCTAACTGGAGGCAAGCAGGGTGTGCTTCTTGGCATGGGTCTCCGGTGTAGGCTCGCTGGTGTGCCAGGTCTGTGGTGAGGCGGCCGCCCGACCTCTCCGAGGCGCCGTCCGTCGGTCCCCCTCTGCTTCTTCCCTTGAGTCGGGCCTGTCCCTCTACAGGGGGAATATTCAAAAATAGTCAAGGGATAGTCTGGGGACTATTTATCGGGTATTTTTGGGCATCTTTTGATTATTTTTGGAATATTTCTTCATTTTCGTCCAGAATCCCCCTGTAGGGGGACAGGCCCGACCTGATTCTTCCCTCCCTCGCGTCCCCCCCGGTGCGTTTTCGGCTGCAAGCTGTGGGGGCTTTGCATACTCTCGTAGTTCCGTCTTTGGAGTGCACTCGCGTCGACGAGCGTCTCTATAATTACTGGCATGGCGCCGATCTAGCGTCGATTTGCTTTCGATGTAGCGTCGGCTCGCGCCGTTTTAGCGTCGGTCGCGTCGGTTCGCAAGAAGAGCCAACAAGATGGTGTAGGAGGCTCCCATGAGTTGCCACCGGATGCGTCAGGTATGAGGGCGCCTTCGCCGACGGCCAGCTGCACGGCCATGGGCGGTTCGTCTGGCCGGACGGGAGCGCCTACGAAGGCGCGTGGCACCAAGGCCATCGACGCCAGCAAGTCTTCCATTTCTTTGGCCTTCCTTTAGGTCGGGCGTGTCCCTCTACAGGAGAAATGTTCGGAAAGAGCAACATAATAGTATGGGGACATGTGTGTGTGGTTGTTTTTGTTATATATAATGTGTGTGTATTATTAGTCGTATTTATTATTATTTTCATTCATATTTTCGTTTTTATTACTATCATTTTTTCTATTATTGTTGTTGTTATTATTATTAGTACTATTAATATTATTATTCGTCTTCGTATTATTATTATTATAATTGTTATCATCATTATTATTATTATTATTATGTATTTTCTTCTTCTTACTATCACGATGATGATGATGATGATGATGATGATGATGATGATGATGATGATGATGATGATGATGATGATGATGATGATGATGATGATGATGATGATGATGATGATGATGATTATTACTATTATTATTATTATTATTATTATTATTATTATTATTATTATTATTATTATTATTATTATTATTATTATTATTATAATATTATTAATTGATATATGAAAAGGTTTATGACCATTTTTGGCGTATTTCTTTTGACCAATTTCTATGTTTCGTACCAAGTCCGCCTGTAGCAGGACATGCCCGACCTAAGCCTTCCTTGCTTCGGGTTGCAGGCTGCACAAGACACAGCAGGTCTTCGGAGGTCCGCGCGGTCTGCCCAGCTCTGCGCTGCCCCCCCCCCCCCCCCGTGGCGGCGCCTCCAGCGCCGCCTCATTGGGCGCCGCCCCGGGCGCCAGGGAGGCGCTCGGCGCAGGTCCGAGGACATCCCCGCGCGGGCCTCTGGGCGTTGCTATGTTCGTGCCGCTGGTGTTCCCGTGCAGGCATCGGAGCAGAAGCAGCGACCGCTCATGCCACACTCGTCGCTCCACGCCCCCCCCCCTCCCCCCAGTGTTCAAGGTTGGGCGGTGGGTCTGAGGAGTTGCGCCTCGACCGCGGTGCTCCCCGGCGCGTGCCAGCTTTGCGTTTCTTCTTTTGGGGGGGCGGCGTGTTCAGTGATTGTTTCCCTCTACCGTATCCTCTCGTTAGATTATGCGTTCCATCATGGACCCCTTGTTTACGCGAAATATCCTTCTTTCACACCGAAGACCGCCGAAGACCGCCGAAGACCGTGTCGGGCCGCTGTCCAGACCGCCGAAGACCGCCGAAAGACCACCGAAAACCCCCGAAGACCGCCGAAAAACCGCCAAAAGACCGCCGAAAGACCGCCGAAGATCGCCGAAGACCGCCGCAAGACCACCGAAGACCGCCGAAAGACCGCCGAAGACCGCCGAAGACCGCCGAAGACCGCCGAAAGACCGCCGAAGACCGCCGAAGACCGCCGACAGAGCGCCGAAGACCGCCGAAGACCACTCTCAGTTAGAGGAGACCCCCTCTATCTTGGAGGGGGTCTCCTCCAAAACAACTTGCCACCGAAGGAGGGAGCAGTGCCCCTGCGCGCCCTGCGGCAGCCCGGTTCGGCCGGACGTGGTGGAATCGGCAGCGTGCAGGGCGGCTGCCCGACCGCGACCTCCTCTAAGGCGGAGAGTGCGGTTGGGGGTTGAGGGAGTGGAGGATGAGGGGAGGAGGGAGGAGGGGGGCGGGATGATTATGGAGGATGGGGGGATGGGGCGAGGATGGGGGGAGGAGGGGGAACGGACTGGAAGAGGGAGGATGGGGGGAGGGGAGGAAGGGCCGGGAGGATGGGGGGAGGAGGGAGGAGGGGGACGGGAGGAGTATGGGGGATGAGCGGGGAGTGGATCGAGGGGGGGTTGCAACAGGGAGGGACGCGGAGGAGAGGGGCGGGAGAACATGGGGTGAGGGAGCAGTACCAGGATGACCGCCCCAGCTGGGTTCGAAGAAGAATTGGAGGATGCTGGTGATGGGGGTAGGGAAGGTACTGGGGATGAGGGTGATGAGGATGATGCTGCTGCTGCTGATGGTGATGGTGATGGTGATGGTGATGGTGATGATGATGATGATGATGATGATGATGATGATGATGATGATGATGATGATGATGATGATGATGATGATAGCGAGGCTGATGATGATGCTGATGATAATAATGATGATGATGCTGATGCTGATGCTGATGATGCCGATGATGATGACGATGTTGTTGATATGATGGTGATGATGCTGATGATGATGATGATGGTGGTGGTGATGATGCTGCTGGTGGTTGTGGTGGTGGTGAGCAGGAGGAGGAGGAGACGGAGGAAGAGGAGAAGGTTGGTGGTGTTGGTTATGATGGTGATGGTGACGATGAGGATGATGATGTTGCTGATTCTTCTAATGATGATTATGATGCTGATGATGATGCTGACGATGATGACGATACTGCTGCTGCTGCTGCTGCTGATTATGATGATGATGATGAAGCTCATGATGATGCTGATGACGATGACGATGATTCGGATGATGCTGATGATGCTGCTGATGCTGATGATTATGATGACGACGACGATGATGATGATGCTGATTATGATGATGCTGATAATGATGAAGACGAAGAATCGTACTAATAATACAGACGATGAAGACGAATCATCGTACTTGTGATACGGATGATAAGAAGATGCTGGTGATGATGCTGCTGATGATGATGCTGATGATAATGATAATGATGATGCTGCTGCGGATGATGATGATGATGATGATGATGATTCTGATTATGATGATTATGATGATGCTGCTGATGATGATGATGACGATGATGATACTGCTGCTGCTGATGATGATGATGCTGATGATGATGATGATGATGATGATGATGCTGATGATGATGATGATGATGATGCTGATGCTGATGACGATGACGATGACGATGACGATGATGATGATGATGATGATGATGATGATGATGATGATGATGATGATGATGATCATACTGATAATGCTGATGCTGGTTCTGATTATGTTGGGAGGCGAGGAGTCAGGAGGAGGAGGAGGAGGCGGAGGAGGAGGAGGAGAAGGAGGAGGAAGAGGCGGAGGCGGAGGAGGAGGAGGAGGATGCAGGGATGATGAAGAGGATGGAGGAGGATGCGCAGGCCTACGCTTTCGCTTCCTCGTGCTCGGTGAGGGCGGTCGCTGCTGCCACCCCTCCCGTGCTCCTTCATCTTCCTTCTCTTCCTCCCTCCCCTCCTCCGTCATCCTTTCTTCGTCCTCCCTCCTCTTCACCCCTCTCTCCCCCCCCCTCTTTCATCACTCCCTTTTATTTTATTTAATCGCTTCGCTCATGCCGCCGGCCCTGGAGCCCTCTTTAGGGCCTCTTGGGGGCCTCTTGGGGACCTCTTGGGAGTCTCTTGGGGCTCCTTGGCGGCGTTTTGGAGGCCCCCAGGGCCTCTTGGGGGGCTCTTGGGGGTAGTCGATTGCGGCTCCCCCCTCGGAGGCCACGATCCTCGTGAGGGGTGTCGAAAAATACCCTCCCCTGGAGTGGTCTGGTGGCTTCTCCCGGGCTTCTCTCGGGACCTTGCCGGGGTACTTTTCGTCCGGGGGCCCCCAGGGGCCGCTCCGCGCGCGCGAACTAGAAATATTGTTAACAAGTTACCAGAGATCTTAGCACGCCTCTGGCCCGTTGGGCCGGCGAATTTTTCCCTCCACTGTGGCGTCGCCGTTCTGTCCATGCTCCGCGCATCTTCCCCAAGTGTCTAGAACGGTTCGCGGGGGCGCTGCTCGGTGGCATCCAACGTTGTTTGATGACGGTGTCAGTGGTTCGGATAGCGTATTTGCTGTCTGTGGCGGGGTCCATCATCGGGCGGGTTACTTTGGCGCTGCGGCACACGTGCTCCTCATTTATAGGGGAGGCGATGGGGGTGGGAGCAGGGGTGGATGCTGCCGAAGGAGAACGGGGTGGTGCACTTTGTCTTGCTCCCCACTTCTCCCACGATCGACACCTCGGACTGCTACCTGTTGCGGAGATCTATGGCCAAAGTCGTGGAGCTCAGCAGGTGCGGAGGGGGAGGAGGATCAGATTGTGCCGTCGTTTACCGTGAGTGTGTGTTTCCGCGCCGCCGCAAGGCGCCATGCACGGCCAGGGCAGGTTCGACTCCCGGTTTGACGGGAGTTTCTTGCAGGAGTTCCGCCAGTCATGTTTCATGCTCACTGATTCATGGCCCACCAATTGCTTTCGTCGCCACGCCAAGTAAGTGTCATGTTCGGCCGTATGGAATCGTACTCTTGCTGTTGCTCCTGCCGCTACTGATCGTCAGTCCAATTGGTTCATGTCTTGTCATGGCCGCCACCGTGGCCGCCGCTGGTTTGTTGCTGCTGTCTGCACTTGACGACGACCCAATGGAAGCATTCACATCGTTCCACGGTCGATTTCCAACATGCAAGTTGGATAATCCAATCGCGAGCAGAGTTCTCAGTCATGTGAGAGAGTTTTGGGTGTTTAGTCCACCTGCGATGGATGGATGACTGGGTGGGGCAAACAGTCTTACACTGTCCCTGGGCGTGTTGCTGAAGTGCGGTTCCGCGACGCTGCTGTTGCTTTGGTCTAGTGGTCGTTGGTCCAACCCGCCACCGCGCATGGATCGTGGACGAGACAAGACACTTCTCAGAGGCCGCCTGGGTTTCTCGGCAGACCTCTTGGGGCCTCCCGGAGACTCTTGGAGGCCCCTTTGGGGTCCCCTCAGGGGCCACTGGAGCCTGGGGCCTGGCACGAGCACCTGCAATGCCCATCACAGCGGCCTCGAAGTGCTCCCTCGCTGTCGCCCAGCGACCCGCCCAGCGACCCCCGCCGACTGTCAATCGACCCGCGCCCTCCGCGACGCCGCGCCCGCTGCGGCTCCCCGCGGCCTGCCGCCGCGCGCCCCGCCTGCCGCTCCCTACTACCCAGCCGCGTCCCCTGGCCCGTGTCCGCAGCCGCGGTGACCCGTTCAGACTCGGGCGGATGGGCGGCGGCGCGCACAGGGGGGCTGTCAGGTGGAGGGGGGGAGGGCTTAACAGGAGGAGGCTGCTTCTCAGAAGGCGCAGGCTCTGCACCCGTAGGCAAGGCCCGCGCCCTCTAAGAAGCAGCCTCCTCCTGAGAAGCCTCCCCCCCTCTCCCTACCAGCCCCCCTGTGCTCGCCGCCAGGGGTTCTCAAATATCTACGCAACAGTTCGTGCCATCGTTCGTGCTGCATCGTGCTGGGTGCGGGCAGACTCTGCTGCACTTGGCATCGTTGGTCCGTGAGAGAGGCCACGCGCAATGAGCCACACGATGAACCAGTGCCTTCTTTTGCGACCCTGTTGCGAAAGACCCCCCGGGCGAAACGGAACCAGCTCATCTCGACTGGCCGTCTCGCGTGCTCGTGCTCTCTTCGGCCGGGCTCGCTGGTCTTCCGTATCGTCTGACCTGCAGTCGGGCCGAGGTAGATGATCGAGGTCGGTTCGGGAGGGTACCCTGATGTTCTTCGTGTCTGTTGGGTGTTCTAGTGCATCCTGGGGAGGGTACCCCAGGATGCTCTGCGTGCTTTGGCCGGCGGAGGGTCTCATGTTCTTGAGGGATGTTCTTCTGTCCTAGGTCCGGCTGTACCCCCACCCTATTGGGCAATGGTTTCTTTCAGCCCCCCCCCAGCCCGCCTTCCCGGGGGGGATAGGTGCCGCGCAGCCCGACGGAAACGACGTGCATCCCCATCAGAGGGGCGAAGTCGGCCAGTGGCCCCAAGGTCACGCCAGTGGGGATGGGGATCGGTTCAACGATGGTCAGGTCTTGGTTCGGCTTCTGGCTAGGCGCCACCCCGACGTACTGATACCATGTGTGCGCCGCCCCCGCAGTGGCGACGCGCGCGCGCCGAGCAATCCTACAGCGTAAGCTCCGTGGCGGGCGCTGTCTGGCCGCACTGCTCGGGAAACGATGCACTACCAGGCGTCCGGACCAGATGTTCGGGTCGGACGCACGCCTCCAGCGTCAGCAGTATCAGTGTGTCCTTCAGCGTCCCAAGTGGGGATTGGGATCGTTTCAACGATTCGGCGGCGAGCGAGGGGGAAGTGATAAGGAGAAGGCCTTCTCAGAAGGCTCAGAAAGCCCCCAGCATTCTGAGAAGTTTTCTACGCCTTCCCCCGAGACACAGAAACCTTCTCAGAAGGCGCGAGGGCTCCTGAGAAGTCCCGCCGCCTTCCGAGAAGGCCTCCTCCTTCCCACTTCCCCCTCCTCGCTCGCCGTCGACATCAGCATCGGTTCAACGATGGTCAGGTCCTGGCCCGGCTTCTGGCCCCCGTACTCGTCCCGAGCTCTGCGGCGAGACCCTCTGCGACGCCCGCGCCACGCCCAGGGCCGCTTCCACCAGAACCAGCTGCTGCAGGCGAAGGACGGCCCTGTCCAGTCCCCCGGGCGGGCGGCGATCGCAGGGACAGGAGAGGGGCCGGAGGGCTCCCAAGGGGGGTTTTGGGGAGGGGGTTTTCCAGGAGGGGTCTCCCAGGGGCTTCGCACCCCCTGTTTCGACGAGGAGGGAGGAGGGAGGAGGGAGGAGGGAGGAGGGAGGAGGGAGGACGGAGAGGGGAGGAGGGCAAGCTAGGTGCGCTCGCGTCATATCTGACGTCCTACCCCTCCCTCCCATCCCTTACCATGGCGCTGATTTTCTCTATCCGCGGACGCGTGTCGTAGCGGACCTGTGGCTCCGCGCGCGCGTGCGTAGTGGGTGGTGGTGCACGTGCACGTGCGTGCGTGCGTGTGTGCGTGGTTGTCGTGGTGGTGGGTGGTGGTGGTGGTGGTGGTGGTGGTGGTGGTGGTGGTGGTGGTGGTGGTGATGGTGGTGGTGGTGGTGCTGGTGGTGGTGGTGGTGGTGCTGGTGGTGGTGTTGGTACTGGTGCTGGTGCTGGTGGTGGTGGTGGTGGTGGTGGTGGTGGTGGTGGTGGCGGTGCGGCGCGGTGGTGGCGGGCGGATGGGCGCGCGAGAAAAAGGCCCGCGCTGGGGCGAGAACGCCATCCTGAACGACGGAGGCCAAACACCGATCCGAAAATGAGGCCCACGCTGCAGCGGGAGCACGATTCGGAACGATTCGGGAGCAGAAATGAGGCCGGCGCCTCAACGAGAGCAGCATTTTGGGAAAAAATGACGCCGGCGCCTCAGCGAGAGTCGTTTCCCGGGATTTCCCGGGCATCCTGTGTGTAAAAAACAGTACGCGGAGGGTGCGCGGCCATCACCCGGACGCCATCAGGGGAAGAGGGAGAGTATATTCATATTGAGTAATTGTAGAGGTGGGAGGAGGGGAGGAGGAGGAGGAGGAGGGGAGGAGGGGAGGAGGGGAGGAGGGGAGGAGGAGGGGAGGAGGGGAGGAGGGGAGGAGGGGAGGAGGGGAGGAGGGGAGGAGGGAGGAGGGGAGGGGGGAGGGGGGAGGGGAGGAGGGAGGAGGGAGGGAGGGGAGGGAGGGAGGGAGGGAGGGAGGGAGGGAGGGGGAGGGAGGAGGAGGAGGAGGAGGAGGAGGAGGAGGAGGAGGAGGAGGAGGAAGAGGAGGAGGAGGAGGAGGAGGCTGCCGTATTGCAGTATACGCGGCGTTGCGGTACTGCTGGGCGGGTCCACGGCCTTCTCAGGGCGATGCAGGCCTGCCTTCCAAGCGCCTTCTGCTGTCAAGACCGGCCTGCCAGGCGGGGGCGGCTGCGAGGCGCGGCCGAGCTTGTGCCGCAGGGGCGCCCACAGCCTGCGCGCCCTTGGCAGTGGAGGGGTCAATCGGGCACCGCCCCGCTTCCCAGCCAGCAGCGCGGTCGGCTTGCCGGTTCGCGGGCCGAGACAGCTCAGGAATGCCATCGCCGCGCAGTAGGTCCGCGTCCACATTGGCCTTCCAGCTTCGGCGCAGGGGTCAATCAGACACCGCCCCGCTTCCGCGCCAGCAGCGCGATCGGCTTCCTGGTTCGCGAGCCGAAGCAACTCGGGGATGCCACTGCCGTGGAGTCGATCCGCGTCCACGCTGGCCCTCCAGCTTCAGTGCAGTGCAGGGGTGGGTCAATCGGGCACCGCCGCGCCTTCCAGCCAGCAGCGCGATCGGCTTCGCGTTTCGAGGGCCGAAGCAACTCAGGGATGCCACTGCAGCGGAATCGATCCGCGTCCACGCTGGCCCTTCAGGGGCAACGATGGGGGGGATGGCATAGGGGAGGATGCATCGACCCCGAATCGTCCATTCATCGCCTATAGGGGCCCGATAGCCCATTCCCGCCCAGGAACGTGCGGATCCGCTATCGGGGGCTCACCGCCGATCTAGTGGCGATGTATCGCCGATTGAAGGTCGATGTTCCCCCCCCAACGCCAGCCCCCCCCTGTCATTGTCCCTCGGCCCTCCAGCTTCAGCCAGATTGGTGCGGCCAGCCCTGGCCCGGGGACGTGAGGCAAGAGAAAGCATCACACCCTCGCCAGAATTGGCCCGTGTCCCAGACTGGAGAAGGATGAGGAGCAGCACTAGTAGTAGTAGTAGTAGTAGTAGTAGTAGTAGTAGTAGTAGTAGTAGTAGTAGTAGTAGTAGTATTAGTAGTAGTAGTAGCAGTAGTAGTCGTCGTAGTAGTAGTAGTAGTAGTAGTAGTAGTAGTAGTAGTAGTAGTAGTAGTAGTAGATGTAGTCGTAGTCGTAGTCGTAGTCGTAGTCGTAGTAGTAGTCGTAGTAGTCGTAGTCGTAGGGGTAGTAGTAGTAGTAGTAGTAATAGTAGTAGTAGTAGTAGTAGTAGTAGTAGTAGTAGTTAGTTAGGAGTAGTCGTAGTAGTAGTAGCAGCAGTAGTAGTAGTAGTAGTTAGTAGTAGTAGTAGGGTAGGAGTAGAAGTAGTAGTAGTTAGTAGTAGTAGTTAGTAGTAGTAGTGGGTTGTAGAGTAGTCGTAGTCGTAGTCGTAGTAGTAGTAGTAGTAGTAGTAGTAGTAGTTGTAGTGTAGTAGTAGTAGTAGTAGTAGTAGTATTTAGTATTAGTAGTAGTTTAGGTTGTAGTCGTAGTAGTTAGTAGTAGTAGTTGTAGTAGTAGTAGTAGTAGTAGTAGTGAATCATCATCATGTAGTAGAGAGTAGTAGTAGTGAGTAGTAGTAGTGAGTAGTAGTAGTAGTCGTAGATTGTTGTAGTAGTGGGTAGTAGTATAGTGTAGTTAGTAGTAGTAGTAGTAGTAGTAGTCGTAGGAGTAGTCGTAGTAGTAGTCGTAGTAGTAGTCGTAGTAGTAGTAGTAGTAGTAGTTGTAGTCGTAGTCTTAGTAGTAGTAGCAGTAGTAGTAGTAGTCGTAATCGTAATCGTAGTCGTAGTCGTAGTCGTAGTCGTAGTCGTAGTGGTAGTTGTAGTATTATTATTATTATTATTAGTAGTAGTAGTAGTAGTAGTAGTAGTAGGAGTACTCGTAGTAGTAGCAGTCTTAGTCGTAGTAGTATTATTAGCAGTCGTGGTAGTCGTAGATGTTGTAGTAGTCGTAGTAGTAGT